AGTAATTATAGCAATCTAGTAGAAAGAAAATAGACTGTATGTAGAGTAAGAATGGGAAATATATTATGTTAACACATTGTAAAAATAAAATGATCAGTATGAAAAAGAAAAAAAAAATTGGCTTGGATTTCACTCCCCAAGGCTGACTGCACTGTTTCCTGTAGCCTGACTATTCATGAACTTTCTGGTCATTCCCAATTTGTTACTGTCCATGCTTGTCTCGTCCCTGTTATGGTCATTACGTTTATTTTTATAGCTGCTTTTATCCAAAGCATATGTTGTCAATGGCCTTCTTTCCTTATCTTCAGTGCTTTCAGTTATATAATGTAGCATGGTACCTGGCAATATCAAAGCAAATGTCTTGGATGATAGATTACAAATGAAAAATGAATGCTCTGGGACATCTTAATAGCTTATTTCCATGCATGCTTCCTGCCAATGCGGCTCTGCGTGTCTCATACATGTATCCAAATAGATCAAAACATCGGTCACTATATTCACTAAATTCATTTTTTCTTTTAGTGCTGATAGCAAGGAAATCATCAAAAATGCTGAAGGTTCTTTATTGAACAGCAACACTTAAGTGGCAGTGATCGAAAGCTGCCTTACATAGACCAGAAGGTATTTGATTTTAATCAGTCAGGAAGGAAATGGTAAAACAAACGAATATACCCTGATCTTCAAAAAGAGGTTCTCCAGGGAAAGGGGAGAGTGTTCTGCTTCTCAAAGGTTAACAGCCTCATAGTGCCCTTTTTGGTAACCTGATCCCTGATTTGTGAGTAGTTTCCCTCCTTCCACACAGAAGAATAAAGCTGTGCTTCTGCAGCTTTGAAGTCACTGGAAGTTTTGCTGTTGAATTTAACGCGGGAAGGACTTTGGTAGTCACTTGTGTTCACTGAGGGAATAAGCAAGCACTGAAAGCACTGCTGTCCTGGCATCACTAATAGACAAATACCATGAACAGAAGCCAGGGCAGACAAAAGAAAACTAATCCCCTTCCTGGCCACAGGAACATGCAAGGAGGTCCATGGAGGAAGAGCTAGACTGTCTTCAGCAGCAGCCAAAGCAGAGCCTGCCGTGCAGCGAGACACCAGCAAACTGTCAGAGCACAGCCCTCTGTGCCAGCTGTTTCGTGGTTTATGATGGCGCAGCAAGCACCATGACCTACCACGTCACCCAGATCCTTTCCCGCAGCATATTTCAAAGTGTGTGCCAGGCAAATTTCTTACAGATACAGTGACCTGAGAGTTGACAAGGACCTCAGGAAGTTACTTGTGATGTCCTTATAACCATTCTGTGCTCCAGCACTAGCAGGCTAAACTCTAGGGAATCGTTGACAAGTTATTTACTCCATATAGGTGTATAAATTTGGGCTTGAGCCATCTGCATTAACATTCATGATGATAAATTACAGGCTTAACTGATCAGCTCTGATTTGCCTCTGATGCACTCTCTCAGCCTCTGAAGCTCAGCGTAAGGAACTTCTACAGGAAGACATTTTTGCAAGGTCTCCTTTTGCAAGGAAAACCACTGCTTTCCTCTTCGCTGTATTCACATCTAATACTGGTGCTGCAATGCACAGTCCTGGAGAAGGATATTGGCTCAAAGTTTTTATTTCCTGAGTGATTTAAATAATTTGGACCAATATGAACATAGGGTGTTTGTGCTTCATATTCTACAAGGTTAATGTGTATATGAGTAAACGGTCTTCTTTGAGAAGCTCATCCGTAGTTGATGATTTCTTTTCTGTTACAACTTTCTTTGCTTCCATGACCCATGCACTGTAATACTTTTACAGATTTTTTTAAACCCTGCTCTGGAATTCCTGGGATCATAATAAATGGATTAAATGAAAAGTCTTGTTTTCTCTCCGTTCATTTAAGGAGTCTGTCTTTGGATTTGATATTGCTCACTTTTTATTTTGTATTGAGAGATTTAGACACAATGAGAAATCAACAGACAGTTAAAATGAGACTTGGGAACTCAATTCTGAGCTCTATCAGCCTTGGACCTGTCCCATGATGTTAGACAAAACTTTGGGAACACTTTGCTAAATTTTCATGAAATGTCAGGTTTGAAGGAATCTTTGTGAATAATTGGAAATTGATTTCATGATACTTTGATACTGACCTCACAGGTGGTAGCTATTATTTTAGATTTCAGAGTGCAATCACAACAGATGAAATCTCAAAAGCTCTAGCAAAATAAAAGCTCTACTTTTGTTCCATTCCTTCCAGATTTTCTTGAAGTCATAGATCAGGTTTAGATTAGACCACTCCATAACATAACTACGGAAAAGCAAGGGAGAAAAAATTAAGAGCAATTTGCTGGAGGCCCATTTTTTCTTGAGTGAAACTGAGTGTAAGTTTGGCAGGAAAAGAAAGTTAGATAGTAATAATCTAATTTAGAAACCAAAATATATATTAATTTATCCTTGGTTTGGCATGAATTTGAGGCCAGTTTCAAAAGGTTCCTGCTGCTGGGGTTTCTAGTTGACCGGTAATGTTGAAACGTATCCAGTGTGCTTTCTTAGTCTTATGGCTGTTGTCCAGTCAACCAGCTGGAACCTAATTGCTCTTTTTTCCCAGTTTCCCATGTGACATTGCTGATAGCAAACATCTCATTTAAAGCTCATTGCAGCAAAGTGGCCCAAACATTACCAGTACCTTCTTGCTCCTGGATGCACTTTAAATAAAATCAGCAAGGCTCCCCAGATATTACCTCGTATTTCTCTGGGATTCCAAAGCCAGAACATCAAAATAATGAAAGGAAAAATTATGAGAGTAGAACCAACTTCCTGTCCGGAAGGAATAAATCACTCTCTGTGCTTCTTTCTTGTGACTGACCCAGGACTCACGTCTAAAAAGCAAAGCCTCTGAGCGTGTTCCCAGGAGAGACTCGAAGAGCTCCTAATTACATGTGCAAGAAGTGGGTGGTAGCTTCACTAGGAGCTTGTAAGTGAAATGTCTACCCATGGGCCTGGAGCAATTTCCCATCTCGGTCTCACTTTCTAATGCCGAATTCTGGGAAGGGAGCCTAGTCCTCAAGTGCTTTTTGTTGTGATTTGAACATCACTGATTTGAATGTTCCTTAGTGTTTGATACCTTGGGAAAAGACTGTTTCCCTTTCCCGTCTCCAGACGCACAGCCTCACAGCAGTCAGTATTTGGTGGCTCACCGCTGTCTGTCTCTGGCAGGGTCAGTAAGGGTGGTCCTTCAGGCTCTGTTTCCTCTCTGCTTTAGCTCCCTGCCTTGCTTCTGAGGAGATGGTGTTTTCTCACATGCATCCTTTGTTTTTACCCTTTCCATTCCCAAACACAACAGTGGGGATTTTATGTTAATTACTCTATTATACTATATCTGGATTGATTTCTAGATCTGAGGTAGACTAATAGCCTCAATCCTCAGAAAGCTTTCAGGTTTTCTGTTCTTATCCTCCCCGTGTGAAAGATCCCTGTTCCTCTGGACCAGTTTGCCATGCTGTACAGCACACAATATTCTGCTTTTCCTGTTTCAAAGCTCTGGTTGCCTTGTTGTTTCTGTGTAAACCACATCATCTCTCCCTGAATCCGTGAAAGCTTGTTGCCGTGTATTGTTGCACTGTATCCTCTTGATTCTGTAGTATGTTTATGGAGGGGTTTGTCACAGCGCGGTCTGTTCCCATTGCTGGGGTGGACTACACTGACTGGATCTAGTAATCAAACCCTGTGAGCATGTAAATACTGGGAAGGAACTGGCCTGCTTCTATGAATTGCAAGAACGATTCCCGAGTGTGAGCCCTCAACCTGACATCTCTTTGCAGTGGTCCATTGTCTTTTTCCTTTCACAGCTGTAGAAAATACTTTGCGCCTAGATACTGTTATACATTCAAAATCTTGTGATCTAATTCATGCAATATCATCAACTGTTTTGACTGCTAGGCTGTGGGAGAGGTACGGACAGTCTTAAGGGAGAGCCTGGAAACTTTTCAAGCTGGTCATTTCTCTTGCCTGGATCCAATACAGACATTATACAGAGCTGCTGCGACCTTTCTGCTGATAAGTCATTGCACTGCAGAGCTCTACAGGGCTGAGCAGTCATTACTCCTCCCTGTGTAACTGAACCAAACTGTGCCTGCAGCCAATACACAGCAGAGAATCTATTGACTGTCTCTGGAATTAGGCAATTCTGTTAATTGTCTTCATTTTCCAGGACTCTGTCATTCTTTTCCTGAACCATTAGTGGCACAGCTATTTGTGTGCCAGCATGAGCTGCCCGGAAAAAAAAGCTAAAATTGAGCAGCAAATGAATCAAAGACAAGGACAGATACCTCTCAAAGATAATTGCATTGAGATATCCTGGGGAGCCCTTACAAATCCCTTTTCAGCTTCCACAGCTCTTTTTCCTCATTGTGGCTTTGGTTTGAGGAACCTCTATTAAGAAACAAGACATTCCTAAACAATGCCAGCAATGAGTCAAAAGACTTCTTTCCTTTTTCATGATTTACCTCCCCAGTGCCCTCTAGCCATACCAAACTCCCAAGCAAGGACTTTCTGCATTTTTTTTTTATTTCGAAGGGTCAAAATGATTGGGGTGGCTCTGCCTTTCCCATCTACAAAGCGCATTGAAGAGCACTAGGACACTGGTGGGACGTAAAGAAGGAAACTGCATAGCCTGTTCTTTTATTCAGTTGTGGGTTTTTTTTTTTCCTTTTCTTCACAGCCTGGACGTTAATCCCTGTACCATTTCCCACAATGAACATGTGGTCTGAACTTGGGCATGTTTTAAGTAAATGCAGTGGGAGTCAATAATTGCGAGTTGTTGTCTACATAGAGCTCCTAGACAAGAAAGTCACCCAATATTTTTCATACACCAAACTCATGACACTCAGTATACACATTATGTCTCATTTACATATCATTTATCCATACTTACTTGAAGACTGTGGTATCACAAACACATTAAAAAAAATATTTCTGCTTCAGTATCTCTTTGATCAGAAAAAAATGGTAACTTCCATACACAGGATTTATTGTATCTTTTAAGTGAGGTGGTTCTAGCACAGTTCTGATCCTACAAAAAACCAGTGCTAGAGTATAGTACACATTTTGAAAAAAGCCCTGATATGTGGGGGCGAACAGTCCTCCGGCAGTTTTGGGATACCATCCAGCATTTTTAGATTTGGCAAACTGGAGAATACACTTAAAGAGAGAAAAGAAAAATAGAAATTGAGATAAATAATCTTGGGAAATGTTGAGAACAAGAGACACTGATAAAAAACAAATAGTGGATTCAAACATATCCAAAATAGATTTGTATTGTCGAAAATCTTGATATGTCGTTTGTTGCAGAATTTATCTGATACAGAGCTAATTAATAATTTTCAGGTTTCACAGTACTGCAGAAGTTTTATATCCTAGACTCAATAAAGCACTACAAGCATCTGCATTTTTAATAGAGTAGAACCAAACCAGTTGTCTAATGCAAAAGAGAGGACACAGTGTTAGCCTAGACTGAATTTCCTAGACTGCTGAAAAGCAAAGACTCAGACTGCAAGAAGTGCAACCCAACTTTTGACCTTCTGTGACAGAGAAACCAGGCTCTCTGCAAAGCTTTTTGCACTTCTGTTTCTCCCAAAGAAAAGAAGTCCCCGTTTTGTGGGCACGATGCCAAACCGAAATGAATGGCTCTACCTCCTAATAAACTGTCCCTTTTAAACAGCACATCAGTGTCTCTAACTTCAGTCATGAAGACTGCCGTTTTCCTCTTCAGAAGAGTTTGATGGAGCCGTAGGCCCCCCTAAGCATCACAGAGGGTGTTAATCCACATGCTATGGTATTTGCTCCTGTGCCTTTTGAGGTGGGCGTGGAGTCCGCTGCTCAATCTCGGCATGTAACTCAGGGCTTTACCTATGCTTGAAAATGATTCATTCTGTCTTCCAACACTGGCAGTGAAAGTAATACCAGAGTTATCTATATGTAATTGCCTTAAGAACTGGTAGGATTGGGAGCAGAAACATAATTAGTAGTTGTTAAAAAAATGCTTTTCAGCTTTTCTTCTCCTGAACCTTTTGAAATGTAAATAAAATGAGAAATCCATTATTTTAAATTTACTTTTTAACTTTCACTTTGATATCTACCTATCTACCTTTAGAAAGCATAAGCGTCACCACCACACTGTCAAAGGGATGCTTACTAGACTGAATGAAAAAGCCTACTGGAAACTCAGAAAGGTTTTCATTAAACACTTTCTTCTAAACTTCTCTTTTTTTTCCCCCTCCTGGGAAGAGAAGACTTCTTAGGCACATGCTGTGAGGTTTATCTCAAAAATATCAACGATGCCTTCTGTTGATGCCTGACTTGACTCTGTGTTTGTAGTGGTGAAAAACACACAACCATGCAGATTTCTGAAGAGTTCAGAAGGAACATGCTTCATTCCCCTTTCTGACCTGTGTGCAATTTTTTTCCTGGCAACAGGGTTTTGGAGTCAAAGCAACTGGGGAAGAACAGAATAGGGGTGCGAGTGTCAAAACATGCATGAGACTTAGAATAAATTGTCTTCCCCTGAATTCTCTACTCTATCTTGGATTTGAATTTTCATTTCCAGTGTCCAGGGCAGCTCTGTTAAGTGTACACTACACTGCACTGCCTGCAACATATACCTACACCGAGTGGGGTGTTCAAGGCAGCGCAACTTCCACAGTGCTGCCACAGAGAGAGGAGAGAATCCAGAAAAATCAAATGAAGGTAACTCAGTTTTCTCTTGCTTTAGCTCCCATCTTTCAACACATCCTTCTGATTCCATCTCTGACATGTAATGCAATTTAGACTCCTTTCAGAATACACGAGGGATGCAATGAGACTGAAGAGAGTTTGAGTAATAAGTAGTTTCTATGAATAAAAGGGAATCTAATTTATCTGCCCTAGTCACTGTCTCTAAACTTGATCCATGGACTTAGTTCCATTCAAGAACTGCTAGTCATGTGATTACAAAGCCTCCTAGGCTGTTTCTGAATATTTTGTGGGTATTCTCAGATACTGGCTCACCAGCCCATGTTCCTGGAGCATTTATGATAGTTGAGACTATGGGAAAACAAAAAGTTTGCTCGGGAGAGTTCGTTGTATTGGAGATCCTATTCCTTTTGAACTCTCTTACAATCATTTCTTTGTATTGTTCAACTTCTGTTTGCTATGAGATGGTAAGACTTACAGTTGTCTGTATCTTTCTTGAAATTCACAGGGATTCCTCTTGAGTATAAGGGATTCAAGTGGAGTATGTCTGAAGTCTGATATTCCACTTAGTGTCATAATGTTATTTTCAGCGAGTGATAAGTGCTGAATCTGAGGTATCTTTGGCAGCTGTTTGAAGGATGTAAAGTGGTTTTTATTGACATTTAGTTCTCTGCATCTGTAAAGTATAAAGCATATAACATCACTGATCACATCTGTAATATTATATACCTGTAAGCCAACACAGGGATGGCTCTTCACGTAGTCGAAGTCACGGCAACTTAGAGCTTCCAATGAGAGATACAAGAATTTGATTCCTCGAGACCTGCTTTCACGCTAATTTTACATTTGTGTTATTTTTGCCTAGCCGTGGACTGCAAGATCAGATCCCTACACTTTATACTCTCAGCTTTCTTTATATTGTACAATGGATACATCATTATTGTTGTTCTCAATATTACAACTTTCCACATACCTAGACATACGACAACATCGTAGGAATAGATGGATTGTAAAAATATAGTTGTCATGGTCACACCTGGCCTCTCTGTTTGGGTTATGTTCCACCACCTCTTCATGTACATTCCTTCAGTTTTCAACAACTTTCCCTTTTAGCAAAAATATCACTGAACGTGATGAGACATGAATTATCCACCAGGAATAAAGGAGACATCACCTGACCTCCTTACTGAGTATTTTCAACTTGGGAATGACATGAACTCAGAATAGCAATATACTGATGGCTTCTCAATATAATACTGCCCAAAATATCATAATTTGGCCGTTCTCAAGAGTCTGCTCCAGCTATTACTTAGGTAAATAATAGTTTTGATTTCTCTGATATTGCATAAAAATAGAAACAGGACATTTTGTCTACCTTGGCAACCTTAGGGCACTTAGGTCTGTCAAAGAATTGTCCACCAACCAAAGTTTTTCCACCCGAATTAACCTTTGGAGAATCCTTTTGAAGTTTTCCAGCTGGTAAAGATCACCCAGGTCCTGAAATGAAAGGTTCAACTCCTGGGAAGGGAAAAATAAGAGAAATCACCGTTTTTTTTTCCCCCTCGCTTTCTAATAACTATATCATTAAATCTCTTCAATGTCAGAACTAGTTAAAAGGTGAATCTGTTTTATTATGCTGTTCTTATACCAATTTGTGGTGCCAACTGCCAAATTCACCTTAGAATCATGGTGACGCTCTGCATAATTCCTTGAAAGTAAAGAAGAAAGAAACCATCATCTCTTGAGCGTGTGAATCTTACTGCCCAGCCCCTTCTTCCTCTTGAGTGAGCATGCCTGTGTGTATGCTCTGGGTGGAGAGAGCAGGACTAAGTGATTGTGGCTTATTGGTTTGGCCTCTAAATAAACCTGGAAAAAAAAATGCCCAGTGTTCATGCATAGGGAGAAGCATGATCCAGAGCACCGGATCTCAGTGTTAGATGAAGTTACTACCTGATCTTAGAGAGGTTATAACTTACTGCTGATCAGAACCAGCAGTAACATAGTACCTCCAGCCAAAAGAACTGCTCAGGCTGATATGAGGAGAGAGTGGAAGAGCTGAAATTAAACTGCTCCATTCTCTAACCATTCATTTAGCATCAGGCACTAAGCAGGCAAAGAACGTCACTAGTTCTTATATGCCCAAGCACAAATGAAGTCCTGTCACAACGCAGGAGTTTACTCTTTGCACAGGGTCAGAACCCAAATTATGATATATTCCAGTGTTTCTTCCAGCTTGTAAAAACCTTCTGGTTTACAATGTCATGGTGCCAACTTGAGCTTTAAAACTGCCAACTGCAAGGAGCAGCTGGCACATTATTATTTGGCTTATTTACTACTACAGTACAAAGAGTTAATGAGAAAGTTTTACAGCACTGTTTTCCCAGTTCTCTTGCAGTTTCTTTTGCCACTTCTCTGTGTCAGTTACTTGTTTTCTTTTTTTCAAAGTATGTTCTTCTCCTCTGAAAAATAGTTCCTCTTCTGAGGGCCCTGGTCGGAAAAAAAGATTTGCAATAGTGGATGTGATATAGAACTGGCACTTAGTTACTTGCTGAAAGATTATATATATGGCTGGGAAGATATCTGAAATGAAGAAATATATATAATATTATAGGTGTGTAGGTTTCCATGCTTTCAAGATGTAAATTAGCATGAAGATTTTTCTACCATTTCTGGGCTCATAATTCAGCAAGCAATCTAAGGTCATGATCATTTAGTACATGGTTAGTAAATGACATTTCTTCTACAGCTCAGAATAAAAGCTTTTTCTAAATGGTTGAGCATAAGCATCTGAGTTCTAAAATACTGTTTCTATATATTCTTTCACATGCTATGAGTTTATATAGTGGTTATGTACTTATACTTTAACTGTCCTGAGCAAGGCATATGTTTGTAACTTCCAGTCCACTGACAACAACTGCAACTGAGATTAATAGCCATACTCAAAACCTCATTTGTATTAAGAACGACACATGGGGAAGATTTAAAGTCAATGGGTCTACTGAAATGCTTGAAGCTATGCACATCTTCAAATTCCTAACTAAAGCAAGGACAGTGTGGAATTTTTCCATTGTTTAGTCCCAAACATGCAAACAGTGGATTTTAAAATCCACCTTTCATTCCTCATTCTTGAGTGTGTCTATAGATTGTAATTGGGCCAATTCAGTCTTAAAATAAAATATATGTGCCACTGTATGCAGAACTGGATTTCACTCTCATCTTCTTGTTTGGCATGTTGCTATTGCATTCTGAACAATATTTAAATGTTAATGAAGTTTTGAGAGAAGTAATCAACACCACATTAATACTAAAAATTTTCAAATTATGGTTCTGGCTTTTGTTTCCCATTTTGAAAATTACAAAGGGTATTTTCCTAGTGATTAAAAAAAGTAAACATGTACAATATGCGATGAAATCCTGCCCCTTTTCAAAACAATGGCAAGCTCTATGATTTAAGCTCATAACATTTAAGGACATACTCTTTGAGTAAATAGAGTTAAGGCTTAAATGTGAATATGGCTTTTTGATCTTCACCTTCTCTCACTCTGGGGCAATGAAGCTGATTTCCTCGAACATCATGTTCTTCTATGTCACACCAGCCGAGATACTTGAAGGAATCAGAAGGAAGCTTAAAAAAAAACAAAATAAAGATATAAAAGTTTCAGTTCAGGTTTTTCAGTTTCTGGCATTGTGTTTTCTCATATTTCTGGCCTTATTACAGTAGAAATAGTATTCATACATGTTTACAACGTCTTCTGCCTTAATACCATCTGGTGAATAGCAAAATGATGTGAGGATATGATGGCATCCATTTGTGTATGCATATGCATGTAAACACATTTCTGGACAAGCTTTCATACAATATATCCTGAATGCAACTGAGGCACCAAATCTAAATACAGAAAATCTGCCGCTGCAGTTGAGAATATGAGGTTTCTACCCATTTTCCTTTTCCACTAAAACATGTTCTACAATTTCCAGGGCTTCAGCCTCCCAGGAGGGAGCAAGGAACAAAGTCTCTAACTCTGCCTGTAGCGTTTGGAGTAAGTGTGATTTGTGTCATGCCCAACAGACACAGCACCATGATAGCCTACAGTGGGGAAACCTCTCAGTGCAATGCAGCTTGATTATTTGCTCAAAATTCCAGCATTTCTTTCACTGGAAGCCATGATGGTGGAGTTGAAGGGGAAGGAGAGATGGAGCATGCACCTCTGACTCGTCCCCTCCAGTTAGAGCTGAGCTATATGCACATCCCGAAGCTGCTAAATGCTGTGGGGATTCATAGTTCAGGTGTAAACAGCCCCTTCTGGTTTACTTCTGTGAATTGGCTGAGATATTGGAGAGAGATATTGTCACAGAATATCTGTACTGTCGCCTTTCATAGCACTCCTGGTTATGACATTTTATAGCAAATGTACGCAGCCTCTTCAGGATTTATTATATACTTGCCCATTGCATCCAGTTCTGTGCACAGTGCTCAAAGGCTTCCTGGGCCACTGAGTCAAATCCCTTGCCACTGCTGACACCACATCATATAATCTTATTTATAATCATCTGATCTAGCTTTGGAAGATAAAAGGAGGCAAAACATAATCGGCTTCAAAGCTGAGGAAGAGAGTTCAGCCTTTGTCAGTGTCTCTTCTATAAACTTGTAATCAGACTGATAAACCAAACACTTACTGGGGAAGGTAGCCCAGAATCGCAGTTCTGCCTGATGAATCCTCTGTCTTGTGATAAAACCAGGGGAATAGTGTGTGTATCGCTTAGGGCAGAGCAGCAGGATGAATAGGATTTACAGAATTTTTGATTGCTTGTGGTCAGACCTGAGGAACTAGAGAGGAGATGTTAAACAAGTAATCGGTTCTGTTCAGAGAAATGCAAACTATTTTATAATAGCAGAAAATACAGAGCAGCAAGGGGTAGGACTTACCACCAGACAATAGCCACATGATCCTGAGGTCAAACCATAGGTAGGACAATCCTTTCCAGTCCCTTAATGGGACCTCTCACCTAAGTACCGTTTATTTACAACATACGAGGCTTTCACAGATATGTCCAAACATTAGAAAGAGGAACTTACTGGCAGTTTGTTAGAAAAACTCAATCGTGGACAAACTGAAGAACTGAACTTGTTCAATAGCATGATATGTCTCCTTCTGTCCTGTATAGCCCTGCTTTTATGGATCCAGGTTTTGCAAAAAGATACCTCAACTGCATATTTATTTTAATCCCTTGAGTATGTTTTAGCAGAATATCAAGGCCCCAAAGAAGAGTTGAGCTTTGTTCAACAGAGTCTTGAAGTCTTGTGCTCCTGTGCTTTGCTAGTTCATTGCCTAAGAACACATTCAAAAGTACATTTTATATACCCCAAATAATGCAACTTCTCCAATTGTGCTTCAGACAGATTGAATAATTTGCAGACTGGCAGCTGCAATTTAGAAATTTACCATGGAACACTTCAAAAAAAGTTTTAACTTAGTAAGTGTGTGCATACAGCACTATAATTTGACTTTTACAGTACAAGCTTGGTGAGAGCTTGCCAGAAAGTATCAGCTGTCAGTAAGCATCATTAAAACAATTATAGTCAGGAGCAGAAATGGAGAATAAAAATGCAGCTTTAAAATGGTCTAGTGAGGATGGTAATGAAAGTTTCATATTGAGTGTAACAGACAAGCTAAATAGAACATCGGTTAAAACTTACGATTACAGATTATTGGCAAATAATCATGAAGAGACGTATTTGTTGACCTTACTAAGATTATTTTGCCTTTTTTAAACATCATCAAAACCCAATATTACATCTTTGCTGGCTTTTGCCTAAAAGTGCATACAGACTGCACAGAACAGTACTGACATATGGAACTACTCCTCCCTTCATGCTTTATGCTTTTTTTTTTAATGGGATCAAACCAGCCACAATAAACCGTAGATGACTTAAAGGAAGCTGAGCAAGCTCACCATTTCTGAAAATAACAGCTATTTACATAAGTATTTTTAGAGGTCATCTTGAGGCAAACAGGCCATTTTCATGTGTATGTGCTGCTACAGATCAGCAGGCATTCACACACAGAGCAACCCTGTGAAAAGAGGAAAAACATTTGGTCAATATTAAAAAAAAAAAGAGAAAAAAAAAAAGTGCTGGGAACTCTTGCTTAGCCCTATCTTGGTATTTGTTTTGCTTCTGCTTCCTTGTATATTAAATGAGGTTGTACCAGAGAAATATGTAGAAATTCTTTTATATTTAAGAAAAAGATCTATTATTATTCTCAGTTTTGGAAGCAATTTGTTAGGATGCATTCAAATGACTATTTATAACTGCAAGACTTTTGAAAACCTACCTTCCTCTCAGCTAGATGCTACCTCCTCTGCTGAGACATGAATATACACTCCTAGTCCCTTGAAACGTGGGATAAAACATTTTAGCTGTACCATTTAACATCATATCTATACTGATCTTTTGGCAGAAACCCACTCACAAAATTCTGTATTGGTGATAGAAAATAAAACATAAAGTTCCAGAATCAATATGTGATAGATAAGACTTC